GGTTTCTCCAGTCTCCTTTAGGCCAGTAAATCTGGTCTTTTTTTTGTGAGTTAGAATTATGTTCTGCATCCTTCTCCAGCTCTGTCCAGAACTCTCTGTTGTAAAAATATTCTCAGTTTTTTATGTGTTCTGTGATAGGAAAAACATCAGGAAGCGTTGCCTCAGTGAATCTCGGTGTGTTTGTTCATTCATTCGATGAACAGTTTCTGACACCTCTTCTTCCCACAGCCTGTGTTCCATTTAGGGGAAGCTGGGCAGCATCCCTCAGAGATATGGCCCCATTCAGTTCTCCCAACAAGCCTATGAAATTGGCACTATGATCACCCCATTCCACAGCCACTCAGAGCATGGGAGAAAATGTCAAGGGTGTACTCCACTGATCCCAAGCCTGACCATTCAAATCTAATCAGCAAGTCAGGGTCTGGGGAGTAGGATCGCTGTTCATCATAACTTACCGTTTCTTCCTGGCCACTTTCAAATTCTAACCCTGCTTGAATACTACTGCATGTCAAGAACTAGGCATCTGGTACTTAAATAGGATCGGAGATAAAACAGAGTAGGAGTCTGGAGAGAGCTTACGATAAACAAATGTGTGTGTTTATATATAGGTGTGTATATGTATGCATGCACTTATATATGACATATGTATACATGAGCATGTATGTGTATGAGACTATTAAAACCATACAGAGGAAGAGGAGAGAGTGTTATACCCAGATCCTGCCCGATTCTGCATCTGATGGTGACTGTTCTGTTTCTTTCCCCAGGCCAGGAATACCATGTCCTGTCCCCCAAGACTATCCAGAGAGGCAGTGGCACAGTTTCCTGTTCCCACTGCCAGCCCATTAGGACCCAAGACCCAGGTAAGGGATGGTACCTGGAGAAGCAGTCAGGCCAGCTAGGCTGCAGATTCATGGTCTCGGGGAGGGTGCCACTGGGCCAGACTTGGGGCCTGCCCTGAGCTCAGTGACAGGCATGGACAGAGACTGGGATTTTTTCTGAGCTTCTCAGCCCTACCAAGATGTCCTGCCATCACACCTGTCACTCCAGGTGCTGCTGCCTGAAGCTACCGTCCTTGACCTTGATGTGGAGAAACCATGGACATGATTTAGGAAGTTCCTGAAGGGTCTTGATGGGGGGTGGGGGGTGGGGCGCCAGGCAGCAGGGGGCCTGGCAGCGGTGATTATGTCTTATCTCTTTTTCTCTCCCTCTCCACTCCTTACCCGTTTCCCCTCAAGTCCATCATGGAGGAGCACTGGGGAGAGCAGTGGCCTGAGAATCTGGACACCCAAATTTTTATCCCATTTCTGCTAGTGACTTGCTGTGTGGCCTTAGGCAAGTTCCTGAACTTCTCTGAGCCTCACGCACCACAAACATAATGAAAGCGTTGAAGGAGATGATCTCTAAGGCCCTTTCCAGTGATGATGATGATGATGGAGCTGCCATTTATTAAGCACTTACTGTGTTCAGGGCATCATGCTAAGGGTTTAACATAATTAATCCTCACAACTCTGTGAAGTAGGTACTACTGTTATGCCCATTTTATGGGTAAGGACCCTGAGACTCTGAGAGGTTAAGTAACTTGCCCAAAGGCACAAGCTTACGAGGGGTAGAGCTAGATTTTGAACCCAGGTCTTTGTAACTCCAGAGTCACAGCTCTTCACCACTCTGCCTCTCTGCCTTCCAATAGACCTCTCCATTCATTCATTCATTTTTGTTTTAATTCAACATATTCTATACCTGCCCATACTAGGCTCTAGGCCCTGCCCCAGTGAACTCTTATCCAAGCAGACAATGACAAAATAGTGGTCAGAGTGGGAGTACGGATGCACAGGGCAGGGCTGGATGGGCAGGAAGGCTACCTGGAGGGGGTGATGGCTGAGCTGAGGGCTGAAGGACAAGCAGACAAGTCCTGGAACTCACCCAGACAAGGCATTGGAGATCGGGGTGGGGAGAGAACAGTGTGCCCACTCTCCACCTCCCCTGGTGCTCAGGGGGCTGTTCTGGGCCACTCCCACGTGGAGAACAGGTCTGTCTCACTGTGGTGGAATGGCCACAGGTACAGGGTCTGCGTTTGGGAGAGCACGGGCTTGGGGTCAGACAGAGGACCGCCACTTCCCAGCTCTGAGACTTTGGCAAATTACTAAACCTCTCAGGGCCTCCGTTTCCCGTCTGTAAACTGGGGGAGTGATGATAGTAGCTAGCTCTTGGCTTGCTGGATTTGAGAAAATAATGCATGAAAGCTCTTAGCAGAGGGCCTGGCTTGTTAAATGCTTACGTGCACTGCCATGGTCATCAGCGTTGCTGTGATCACCCAGACGGAGGCGGCTTGTCTTCTTTGCAGTGGTCCCTGAGGAAAACTTAGTGCTGCGGGGCTCCAGGGCTAGATTATTTACGCATAATTCTCTCCTGACATCTCTTCCTCCTCCCCAGGCGGTGCTGCCACCAGGGACCCACTGGGACCATCTCCAACCAAAACCCCTCGGTGTCCCATGTGTCATCGAGTTGTGCCCCCCCCAGAGGGGGAGAGCCCAGACACAGCCACCTCTGGTAGGAAGTGATGCTCAGTTTCTTCTCTCAGCCAGACCTTCAGCTCTTGTTCGGGGATCTGGGCAGATTTAGTGGGGGTGGCTGTTTTCCCAGTTTGGGGCCAAACAAATTGGGCAGATGATTTGCTTCCCACAGCTAGGTGTTCCCCAGTGTGGCAAGCCTAGCACCTAGCTCTGGTGGGGAGGGGCTGAGCACACCCCTGTTCCCTGCTGGATCTTCCCAAGTGGTCAGACTGCGTCTCTGTGGTGTTCCCTCCCTGACAGGAGCAGAAAAGGCTGCCACAAGGAGAAATGTGCCTTCCAACTTCAGCCCCAGGCAGAGGAACGAACAGGCGGGGTCACCCCCGCGGCCACCCACCGGGCTGTGGTATCTAGCAACTGCACCCCCAGCACCAGCCCCTCCGGCCTTTGCCTATGTCTCCTCGGTGCCTGTCATGCCTTACCCAGCAGCCACTGTGTAAGCACCTTTCGTCCCAACCCTCCCAGCCTCTTTGTGTTTGGCAGTCAGACCTATATCAGGGCAGCTGAGAACCCAGGCACCCCTGTACACCCGTGTCTCACCCTGCGTGGGGAATGTGCAGTCCAGGCCACCTGACACACATGTGGTCACTCAGCAAACCCTGAGTGCTCCCTCTGTACCAGGGAGAGCGCTCAGCCTGGGGGCACGATAGTGACAGAGGCTGGCAGAGGGCCCTGCCCTCTTGGAGCTTATAGCCTCGTGAGGATTTAGAACCCTAACCATCTTCCCTTTCTTTGCGGGTCTTTCTCTAACCAAGTAATGAGCGCTTAAAAAAAAAAAAAGACTATTTTTTAGAACAGTGTTAGATTTATAGAGAAATGGAGCAGATAGTACAGAAAGTTCCAATATCCACCCCCCTGTGCGCGCGCACACACGCACACACACACACACACACACACACAAGTTCTTCTATTATTAACATCTTACGTTAGTATGGTACATGTGTTACAATTAAGAAGTCAATATTGTTGCATCATTATTAACTAAAGTCCATAGTTTATTCAGGTTTTCTTACCAGTTGCTGTCAGCTGACTGTGACTCATGGAGACCCCATATGTGTCAGAGTAGAACTGTGCCATAGGGTTTTCAACAGCTGATTTTTCAGAAATAAATTGCCAGGCTTTTCTTCTAAAACTCTGGGTAGACTCCAACCTCCAATCTCTTGGTAAGCAGCAAGCATGTTAACAGGTTGCACCACCCACGGACTCCCAGGTTCCCTTAGTTTGTACCTAATGTCCTTTTTCTGTTCCAGAATCCCATCCAGGATACCACACGCCATTTAATTGGCTCCTTCGGCTCCTCTTGGCTGTGGTAGCTCCTCAGACTTGCTTTGTTTTTGATGACCTTGAGAGTTTTGAGGAGTACTGGTCAGGTATATCGTAGGATGAACGCTTAATTTGTACACAGATTTTGGACATAACGTCAATCAAGACAGAAAAGACAGCAGTTGAGGCAGAAGGTGGTTCAGGAGTTAGAGTCAGACAGCTGAATTTGAGTCCCATGTGCCACTTACCAGCTGTGTGGCCTTGGCAAATCTACTTCTCTGAGCCTCAGTTTCTCTGTCTGTTAAACAGGAATAGTCTCAGTCATGTACAGTCGTGTGGAGATTAAAATGAGGCAGTGGCAAGAACCACATGAGATGTTTGTAGTTTGTAATGTAGTGTGGCAATGCTGAATGAATGGTAGCTTTGTCATCATAACCAATATTACTGTTGTTCAATGTTGTCATTAGTAAGAGGAAAAATGAGTAAAAGTAGGTTCAGCATGACAGGAATGGGTAGGAAAAAGAAAACTGGACCATGGATTTGGAGACCTGCCTTTTTGTCCTGACTGCCACCAGCTAGTGCTCTGCCTTGGTTTGCCCCACTGTAAAATGAGTCCACTGGGACTCAGTTTCTTTAATGGCCCTCTGTCTGTGGTCAGCAAGGGCCAGAGTCACTGTGAGGACTGGGGTTTGGTGGGAGCAGAGGTCCTCTGCTAGGACCTAGGCCTCGCAGTATGATTTCTTGCTGCCATCTCAGCTGAGTCCAGGGAAGTAGCTAAGGAAACTTCTGCTCCAGCATGAGAGCCAGTCCTGCCCTCTCAGGTTCCTGGCAGAGCAGGTGGAACCTGCCTGTGCCCAACGCATCAGGCAGGAAAGGTTCTGCCTGGCATTTTCCCATGGCCTTGGTGCCCAAGATAAAGCTCTGAGTGGCCACAGCAGCCACGGGATCTTTTTTTCTCGAGGCCCCACTCTGCATCCTCCCGGGCATAGACCTGTGGGCAGAACTAGCCGGGTTGCTGGCCCCAGGCTTGGATGGGCCGTGGGGAAGGGGAAAGTCCCTGGGCTTTGGTGC